TTGGTTTTGGACTTCTGGAATGGTTTAAGTTTGAGAACCAAGGTACCACTGCATAGCTGTCACATAGAAGAGGGAACGAGCTTGTCTCCTCCTCCTCTGGAGGGTAGGACTCGAACCCATGGCTTCAAGTTACAAGAAAGGAGATTCCGACTCAACAGCAGGAAGAACATTCTGAGAGTAAGAGCTGTTTGACAGTGGAAAAGTCTCCCTCGGGAAGGTTGTGGACTGTCCTTCCTTGGAGATTTTTGAGCAGAGGTTGGACGGTCATCTGTCATGGATGCTTTAGCTGAGATTCCTGCATTGCAGGGGGTTGGACTAGATGACCCCGGGGTCCCTTCCAGCTCTACAATTCTATGGTTCCTTAGAACCTTTTTCAAAAGAGTACTGCCTGGGGTGTATGCTGCAGCCAGACGCTCTCAAGGTCAGGATCAACCCCCCAACCCCCACTGCATTCAATGACAGTTGCTCTGGCTCAGTTTCCAATGACCCAGTGACTCATTTCCCTTGCGCTGCCTTCCCAGAGCAGGATTTAGATCTGAGCCAGACACGAGCCGTGCAGTTACAGAATGTCAAAGCAGACTTCCAGAGTCCCGCACGCCAGCCCCGCCTCAAAGGGCTGGCGACGGCTTCTGCATGTTTATGGTAACGTCACACTTGGAAAATTATGCATCATCCTGCTAGCGTGTGCTGTGTTTTGAAAACTGTGGTGGGATATGGGATAGACGGTGAGAATGCCATGTGTTTAACCACAAATCCTACCCCTGCCCTGCCCCGTGGTATGCAGGCTGAGACCCTCCCTGCCCGCAGACTGTCTCACCAGAGTGGTGCATGCTCTAGTTATCTCCCGCTTGGACTACTGTAATGCGCTCTACGTGGGGCTACCTTTGAAGGTGACCCAGAAACTGCAACCAATCCAGAATGCGGCAGCTAGACTGGTGACTGGGAGCGGCCGCTGGACCACATAACACCGGTCCTGAAAGATCTTCATTGGCTCCCAGTACGTTTCAGAGCACAGTTCAAAGTGTTGGTGCTGAGCTTTAAAGCCCTCAAGGGCCTTGGTCCAGTATACCTGAAGGAGCGTCTCCACCTCCATCGTTCTGCCTGGACACTGAGGTCCAGCACCGAGGGCTTTCTGGCGGTTCCCTCGCTGCAAGAAACAAGGTTACAGGGAACCAAGCAGAGGGCTTTCTCGGTAGTGGCGCCTGCCCTGTGGAACGCCCTCCCACCAGATGTCAAGGCAATAAACATCTACAGTGGTACCTCGGGTTACATACGCTTCAGGTTACATAAGCTTCAGGTTACAGACTCCGCTAACCCAGAAATATTACCTTGGGTTAAGAACTTTGCTTCAGGACGAGAACAGAAATCGTGTTCTGGCGGCACGGCAGCAGCAGGAGGCCCCATTAGCTAAAGTGGTGCTTCAGGTTAAGAACAGTTTCAGGTTAAGAACGAACCTCTGGAACGAATTAAGTACTTAACCCGAGGTACAGTGGTACCTCGCAAGACGAATGCCTCGCAAGACGAAAAGCTCGCAAGATGAAAGAGTTTTTCGTTTTTTGAGTTGCTTCGCAAGATGAATTTCCCTATGGGCTTGCTTCGCAAGACGAAAAACGAAAACATCTTGCAAGTTTGTTTCCTTTTTCTTAAAACCGTTAATACCCAGGGTGACTTCGAGGAGCAACTCATAGCACGCAGTGTGGTAGCCTTTTTTGAGGTTTTTGAAGACTTTGGTGATTTTGAAGACTTTGGGAAACCGTGCTTCGCAAGACAAAAAATTCGCAAGACGAAGAAACTCACAGAACCAATTAATTTCGTCTTGCGAGGCACCACTGTATTTTACTTTTAAAAGACAACTGAAGGCGGCCCTGTTTAGGGAAGTTTTTAATGTCAGATGCTGTATTGTTTTTAATAATTAGTTGGAACCCACCCAGAGTGGCTGGGGAAACTCAGCCAGATGGGTGGGGCATAAATTATTATTCTTATTCTTATTATAGCTATCCATGTTAATGCTTATCTATTTTGTGAATTTAAATCAGAGGTTGGCAAACTGGCTCCTGTAAAATGCTTTCACTGGTGCCCAAGTGAAAGCTATCTATCTCTCTATCCACACACTAGTCCTCCTAGAAAGTTATGGAGCAAAATGTGCCGACAGCTTTTAAGCGATTTCGGTGAACTGCAAGTGTATTCTTGGTACTCTTTCTGTGCCAAGGAATGTTTCCTGTCGCTACTAGATGGCAACACTTTTAATGTGTGCACATAAAACCAATATTGTGTGATCCCAGGTTCCACACAGTCAGGATCAGGAGGGCACAGTTGACTTCTCGCAGTAAGCGTAAGGTTGCCAGGGATGGTTCTCTCTTAATTTTGTGTTATGCCCACATACGGAACCAGCAGCCACAGTGTTATGCCTCATCCCCATTGCAGCAATTTTGTGACTGGCACCCCCAGAACTCTCAAAATGTACCCAAGGGTTGGTGAACCTCCATTTCTACGATCCGGCCTTTCGATCAAACGATCTCTAAGGTACGTGCAACAGATTATATGCAGTACTAAACAATCAACTCGTATCTTGCTTGCTATTAGTGCAGAATTTGAGAAAAAGCAAGCAAATGAATTCTTTAGTTTTACGCTGTTAAAATGTTGAAAAAGTTAAAACAATTTTATTCTTCTTTCACTTTTTATAATTCAATGCACACAGTGACTTGCGATCTCGATCACAGCAGTCTGTAGTCCACTGGCAGTAGGAGTACAATATGGGCACGTCTTTAAGTTAACATCTTACATTAAAAACCTGACAGTACCAAATTATCGAAGGCTTTTCACCAAAGCCAGACTAAACATCTTTCCTTCTGCAGTGTTGGATGGCAGGTTGAGAGGAGGTCCCTACCAGGACAGACTTTGCTTGTGTGCTCAAGACATTGATTCCATAAAACATATTTTGTTGCACTGTGCAAAATATGAGCAAGCCAGGGCTGAACTGATACTACCCTTGCTGGTACCTTTCCCGGGAAAATCAGAGGCTCACTATGTCAGGTTCCTATTGGAAGACCGGACAAATGCTAGAACATTAGCAGTGGCAAAGTTTTTATCGGTGGTTGCAAGAACCAATGATCCCTATATTCTGAACAAAATGCTTGTTTAACCTGGAGGTAGGCTGTATGAATTGTGTATTGCTTTGTAACAATTTGTTGTGTCTCTGGACCGTAATAAAGATTATTGTTGTTGTTTTATGATTCATATCATATATTACTTACGATGGGTCTTCTTGCAAGCTATTAAAAACTGCAAGACTGACGCTCTGATTGTTTGTTTTCACAGAACATGTATCTGTTCAGAAATGCTGAATTTAGCCATGAGACAGCGCGTCCTTAGCCGGCAACGACTTGAAATCACGAATGTGAACTGCTCAATTGTAATTCATGAAAACTAAAGGTAAACGCTATCAATTCCAGATTGAACCAGGATAAGGGATTCTTATCACACTCCCATGGCTTAATTGGCTTGCCAATGGTAAGATGGCTGTGTTATCAAAGATTCTGCGAATGATCACTATCTAAATGTACTTTCTGCATTTCATTTCACTCCCTCGCCATTCCCAATCCGCACCTGCCCAAAAAACAATGTGTATGCCAGCAGGCCAGGATAACACTGATGTACTGTAGTCTACAAAAGCTGGTACCATAACAAAGAAGTCTTTTAAAGTACAGCTACATTCTTGGCTGTTGTCCGTCCCCCCCCCCCCCCGAAATAGAGATCCCCTCTGGAAATAATTTAAAGGGGTCATCATAGTTATGAAAGAAGTGTCTGAAGTGTAAATATGAGAAGCTGTTTAGCGCACGTCTAAAATGACATCCCAAAAAATGCTAATCCAAATTTTCCCGTGTGGCTGGTTGCGAAGTTTTGGGGTTTTATGGGCCAATTCTTTAATGGGTCATGACCCAGACCCATCACTCTCAACCTGCCCCCCTCCCCCTTGAAGCGGCTTGCTCAACCGGCACTCGTCCCTTATCATTCGGTGAACCTTTTTTTGTGTGTGTGGGGAAAAAAGACACACAGAGACTGTCCTGTATGTTACCAGACGTATTTTATGTTTCACAACAGCGATAGATACAGACGAGGCAGGGGGCAAATCTGATCCCGCCACAGAGAGGAAAAAAATTAACCACACACAAGGGTAGAGGGAACAATATATAGATTTCTTCTTTTCTTAAAAAAAAAATTATATATAAACAAATCCCCAAAGCCTTTTCAGACGCTGAAGCCTGCTACGATGTGCTCCCCTCTGAAGGACCTCTTCCTACACCCCTTTGTCATAGCCAGTCAGCACTTCCGGAAATAGGCTTGAGTACCGATTTCATGGCCCACGCAGACTGACCTGCCAGTCAGCAGCGGGTTCCTTCTGGGTTATCACCGTGCGTCGAAAAATGCCAGACTGACCGCTTCCCGCCCAAGAGCAGCAGAGACTCATTGGGAGTGGCACCACTCAGTTCTCCGGCCCCAGGAAAAGCCGCCTCGGTTTTGGCGTAAAGTCAAAGCTTGCTGGCATTCTCAACCCTGGAGGATGTGTTTTGTAGCCGGCTTAAGTTCTACTAAATGGACAGACCCAAGTATGGTTAACAACGGATTCAATCCCAGGTAAAGGAGTTTTAAGCACTGTAGGCCTCAGTTTTCAAGTCTGCAAGGCCCTGACCTTATCAAAGATTTCAGTTCTGCGATTCCCCTCACCACCACCCGAAAGCTCTCTTCCTTCAGGGAATCCTCTCCACGTTGCCCATGATTCTGGTTCTACGTCCCAAGGCACGCGATCAACGCCATGCACGGCCCCAATCAGAACTCGTGGGCCTCGTTATCGCCGAAGCTGAACCAAGTGTGCCTTAGAAGAGGCGCGCTATGCGCTCCTTGGTGCAGGGGTGCGGTCAGTACTGGAAGGCTGATTTCCTTTCAGGACGGCTTGTCCTCTTATTAGGTCTCCCTTGAGGGGCCTTTCAGAAGGCAGTTCCTCAGGAGACAGTTTGAACGCCACTGAATTTTCCATTCCGTGCTGGCCGGCCATGACAAACGCTGGGGCAGGGAGCAATGTGCGTGTGTAGGCATGGGGAGGGGAGGCGGTTGTGTCTCTTGCAGAAGTGTGCATTGTGCGCCGCGGCAAAACGCGGCGGGTTCTCCTTCGAGGGTTTCCCGGCAAGATGGCTGGGCCCACGCACACCACGACTGGCCACGGGGAGGGCGCTGCTGTGCGGCCCGGTAACCAGCGCAACAGTTACAGGGAGGGAGGGAAGGGGGCCACAGCCTCTGAGCGGCCCAGCCGCCCCTTCCGCGAAGCGGAGGGGTGGAGCACCAGGGCCTCTCCAGCGGTTCTGCAGCTGCCGCTGGAGACAGGGCGTGGCGGTCTTTGGGTACGGGGTCGCCTTCATCGGGCTGCGCGGCGGCAGCGATGGACGATTTGGCAAGGGCACACCCTTCCCGGGTGGCCAGGCCTGGACCCTGAAAAGGCGCTCGTGGCGTTGAGTTACACAGAAGGCAGAATTCAAGCACGAGCCGCCTCTTCCTGTCCCGGCCCTGTGATTGCAGTTGAGTTACAGGGCATCATACGAAGCTGCCCTAGCGTTACCAACACTGGCTGGCAGCTTCCTCCTGCATGCAGTTTCCCCATGCTGCAACCTGCAGGCACGTCCCTGGCGACCTGCCGAAATTCTGCCTTCTGCGCGGGCTTTAAAGCCTCGCCGGCTCTTTGGCTGGCAGCTGCCTGGCGAAACCCCCTTGAGTGTGCGTGCGTGAGACACAGACGGAGGGACAAGGAAGTGAGCTGAGCACCACGGCAATTGGGTATGGCTACCCGTTGCCAATACGAGGTCAGAGAGCTGAGTGAGGGCGGAGGAGCCGGGCTTGCAGCCATCGCAGGTGGAAGGGAGGCGTGAAGAGAGAGCACCACGGCCACAGCGTGGCCTTCAAAGAACCGCCGCCGGGGACGGGACGTCACAGCTTTTGCGTGTATAGTTTAGCACCTCATGCGTGGTCCGCATGGCACGTCCCCGGGGGAAGAAGGGGGTGGCCCGGGTCTGCCGTGCCAGGAATGCCACTGAGCGGGCAAGAGAAGCTGCCCTGTAGGAAAACGACAGCGGATTGGGGATTGAGGTTTTGTGGAACGAGTGCTGGTCACAGGAACGAAAGAGACACAACCCCTCTTGCTCGCCTTTCTTTTTCCCCCCTTCCCTCTACAAAAGTAGCAGGACTTGTTAAAATTCAAAGGAGGGGGCAGAGGGCGCAGCGCCAGGCTTTGGGGGCGGACGAGGAAATTAAAAAAAACAGCTACAACCCTACCAGAACGACGACATTAATCATAATAAAAAGGGTGGTGCCATAGTCGTTTCACCAAAGTCTCTTGGAAAAAAGGAACGCAACGAAAACAGGTTAGGGAGGGAGGGGAAAACGACGACGGGTCAGGAATCAGAAGAACAACAATTAGAACCATCGCAATAATTAAAAGGAGAAAAGATAGACGCAACATCCTGTGTTCTTCACCCGGCTTGGGAATTCTATTGTTCTGTGCGTGTGGTCAACTGCGGCTTTCGGAGAAAAGAGCTGCCTGGGCCAAACGTGGCCCGTCGTTGTGAGATTGCGCATGCTTGTGTGCAGGTATCGGTGCGTTTTGTGTCTCTCTACACGTGTGTGTATATGCGATATCTATGTATATACGTGTGCGTGTGTGTCTCTGTGTGTGCGTTTTGCTCGCAATGAAATTGAACAGTCTGCGTTGTTAGATCTCAATGCCTTACGTCTGCAACTGCTACCCACCTCTCCACTCCTGCCACTGCCACGCCAACCTCCCTGCTTGGAAGTTGGCGGGAGGTTTGTACGCAGGGAGAGGAAGGGGTGTTTGGGAACAGGGAGGCAGTTGTGTAGGGGGCGGTTTCCTCCCCAATTGCCTCTTTCCCCTTGCTCGGGGGGCAGGGGTGGGGGGCAGACCCGAGGAAAACGGCAGCCCGTTTCCCCCCACCCCCCATTCTCCCCGTGCCACTCACGGCTGCCCTCACCAACGCGGAAGATATCGGAGAGGGTTGGGTGTTTTGTTTCTTCCCTCTCCCCACCCCCGTATGATGTGTGTGTTTATCTACGTATAGAACGCTCGCTCTTTTTTTTGGTGCTGGTGTAACGAGAAGGCACAGGTGAATGGCGGACGAGGCAAAAGTGGTTTCAAGGGCAGCTATTCGTCCCTCTCAGACTGCAATTCTCAATGCGGCTCGTCAAGGAAAGAAAAAGAGAGAGAGAAAAAGAGAGAGAGAGAGAGAGAGAGAGAGAGAGAGAGGGAGGGAGAGAGAGAGAGAGAGCACTCTTTTGACTCCCCACCCGCCTCAGTGATAAGGGTCCCGATCCTGGCATCGCAGGCGTTCTTGCAACCCAGTGGGGTGGAAGCAGGGGCCCCTGCCAAATACTTGCCAGTTTCTCTGTCTAAATCAAACTTTCTGAATTAACCCCTACCCCTCTTCCTGGGGTGGGTCAGTGAAAGATCTGCACGCAGGTTGACCCCAGGGGACTCGCTATGTCCCAAATCTCCTTTCCCTCTCTGTAGGGCAGGGGTCGGCAAGGTTTACTTGCCTGGGCTGGTTTACTCCAGCGGAGATCCCTCCATGGGCTGGATCGCGCCCGCAATTTTCAGCATCTGCATCTGCGCAGACGCGATTTCCGGCGTCTGTGCATGTGCAGACGTGATTTCCGGCACTGTGAAAGCAAGTCTCTGCGGTGCGCCAGTTTAGCGCAGCGTGCGGGGACTCGCTGAGCGGACGGCTCCGTTCATGGGCCAGTTAAATGATCCCCGTGGGCCTGCTTGTGGCCCACGGACCTTAGGTTGCTGACCCCTGCTGTAGGGCCTCCAGCCCACTCCTACCTCTGAGTGGGCTCCCAGGATTTGCTCTGGGATCTTGAAGGAATGAGGCATGCAGCAGAAAGAGAAGGGAAAGCTTTTTTGGGGGTGGGGGTGTCGAGAGAGCGGCTCTCTCCCTGGAAAACTGCTACGCCCTCAGCTGAGTCAGGCTGTGAGCCAGGCTGGCATGCACAAACACACACGTACAGACACAGACGGCCGTGCGAAACACTGACTTGCACGGTCTCCTACGCTCCTGTTTTCACATCCGAGGGCTCTGGACTGCAGGGACGGGGAAGTGAGCTGCAGTGATTAAGCCTGGCTTGGGACCGGGTCTAAAACCCAATTAAAATAAAAAAAAAACAGACACAAAACTCCTAAAAGTTGTGGTTAAAGTAACGGCGTCAAGGGCTAAGCAACTGAATTGCCAGGGGGTTTTTTAAAAGAAGAAAGAAAGAAAGAAGGAAAAGAGAAAAGAGGTTTTTTGTTTTTAAATTGGAGACTACTGGGAAAATTTTCCCACCACACGGGCTTTCAACTAGGCGGCCGCCAGCATTCCTGTGGGAAAAGGGTTCCTGTGATTTTAAGAATGGTGTCGATGGGGGGAATCCCAGCTAGTGAGGCTTCCCCAACCGGTCAAGGGTTGAAGAAGCTGCACCTGCCAATATTCTCTTTTCTGGGTAATAATTAAAGAGGCAGAGGAAGCCCCATCCCTCCTAAAATGTATAGCAACCCTACTATGAGCGCCAGCTAACACTACGGTGGCCTTTTATACCAAAAGGGTATAAAAGAGGTAAGGCAATTCAATCTTAGGCGACGTTTGCTAGTGCAGGAATTATGCAAGGTTTCGAGTTACGCAGAACTCTTCCTCTTTGGGCAGAATGGAAAAGTAGCTCATTTTTAAGCGCGAAAACAGGGAAAATTGGTGGCGAATGCGAGCGTTTGCGTCGCTTCAAGTCACGGGGTTTTGCGAGTCTTACCGCAAAACTTCTGCCTTATTTTATTTTTCGCAGCAGCCAAGAATGACCGACCTTTCCATGCTGACAGCGCATGATGCAACTAAGCTGCAATCCTAGGCATGCTAACCCAGAAGCAAAGTAAGCCCAGTGAGCACCATGGGGGCTTACTTCTGAGTAAACGTGCAAGATCAGGCTGTTTTTTTAAAAAAGCGAGAGTGAAGGGTGGAATCTCAATCCTGTACACAGCTACTCAGAAGTTAAGTCTCAACGTGTAAACGCGTTCAGGATCAGGGGGCAAAAAAACACGAGAAAGAGGGAGGTTTCCTCTTTCAAATGTCCTTTTTCCGCCCTGTTTTAAGTAGAACTTATTGGCAAAAATGCCATTTCCTGGCAACCTATATTTAGGCTGATTGCAGTTCAAATTTACTTTGTGTAAGAACCAATGTGATCTTTGTGGCGAGTTCCCAATCCTAATTTTTTTAAAAATAGGTCAGCCTCCCCACCCCATTTCAAACTGAGGAACTTTCTAAAGATTGTCTTTAAAAGTTTCAAGATTGTGAAAGCAACATCTAGGCTCCTTAAACTTTCCTTTTAGAATTTCGAAATCACCATCCACTGCCCAGCTACCTGTGGCTATTGTGAGGTTAAAAACCTACCTTTTTCGGTGCCAAGGTTTGTGAGAGTGGGGTGGGGGATGGGGAGGGGAGTGGCCTGCACCTATCTCACCCATTTTTAGGATTCAAGAAACTTCCCCCCACCCAAAAAAGCAACCCAACCACCCCTAAGTAGTGACAAAGTGCGGAGGGGGGGGGGGAGGAAGGACTTCTTAAAAATTAGAAATATATCTGGTGAGGCAGGAGCAAGATATAGAATCCCATCTCTTTTTTGGGGGGAAAAAAAGGTTTTTTGTTTGTTTTTAAAAAGAAAATATTTCTCTGCTCCCTGTACAATACGTTCAAGTTTTTAGACCTTTTAAAACTTGTGGTCGCTTGACCACCAGAAACATTTCGGCCTCTTTTTATAAGCGTAAACAGACTGTAAAAGCGGGTCAAAAAATTCGGCCAGAGCACCACGGTTACCTTCCTCTCCTCTGGGAGAAATCCATTTCCATCTCTTTTAAGTTTTGGGCCACTTCCGGGGAAAAAAATCAGTCCGGACGACTGGGAACCAGGGGGCCGGGGGTGCTTGAATAACACCCAAAACTTTCTTCCCCGGAAGTGCTCTTCAGAGAGGCAAGAGCAGTGATTCAGCTGCTCCCTCCTTAAGTCTTGGCGGTGCAAAAGCAAGCCCAGTGCCGCCCAACCCTAAAGTTTGCCTCGTGTTTGGGTGGTCCCAGTTCCTTCTGGAATGGGTGAACTGGTGTTGGAAGCCAGCAGGAGGGTCACAGCGGAGGGGCGGCTTCCTTCACATTCAGGCGTCGCCCTGCTTCCCTCGTTTCTCAGGGGAGAGCGGTACCCCCGTCTCCAACCCCTGACCATCCCTTCGCCCCGACTCTCCTCTCAATTTTGGGGATTTGACAGAACGGAGTCTTCCCGTGTGAAGGCTTAATATGGGCCCCCAACTCCTTTCCTTCCGCCCCACTTCTGCTTCCCATCTCAGGAAAAGAGGATACATAAGCACCAATATTTGGGGAGGGGGAGCTGGTTTGGAGTGGGGGAGGGGACAGTCCCTACGAACGCAGGCTCCTAAGTTCGGCTAAGCCTTCCTCCCTCGCCGTCTCCGGAGGGGAGAGGCTGCCCGATGAGGACAGGACTGAGGTAGGAAGAATTCAAAGGACGCCGGCGGAGATTTGGGGGTGGGGGGAGGCAGAGAGAGAGAGAGAGAGAGAGAACAGGGCGTTTGGGTGGGGTGGGGGGGACGGCTGGAAGAGGAGAAGGGGAGGGAAAGGAGGGCCCCCCCTCCCCTCCTCTGCCTCTCATGGGTGATTTCGGGTGGGGTTTGGTTCTGTTTTTGTCCCATCTGCAGGAGTGTGGCGTGAAGGTTTTGCGGCGGCGGCGGCAGGGGGGGCCACCACCTCAGGTGGCCTGGTCCAGTTCCACCAGGAGCTCCTCCCCCAGCTGGAAATGCTGCCCACTCTGTACGGAGGCCTCGTCCTCGCCGTCAAACAGGGCCAGCTGAGAGAGGGCTGGTCCGTCCACCACAAATGGCAGCATGTCCCCCAGGAGGCCTGGAGAGAAAGGAGGGAGACCCAGGCAGGGAGAGAGAAAAGGCCAGGAGTCAGGAGAGAGGAGGGCGGTTTTTGTCCGTCTGGGAGACACCCGGGTCCACGCGCCCCCCCTCAGCGCAAGGGTATCCGCTCACCAAACTCTCCTCCCTCCTCCCCTTCCCAAATCTGCTCTGGAGGGTTATAGGAACCCCAAGAACAGATTTAGGGGGGCATGAAAGGGGAGGAGAAGAGATAAAGTCACGCTGTGCGAGCGGAAATCCTAGCGATGATACAACCCATTGCTGTTTTTTTTTAAAAGATGGGGTCTTCAGAAGGTATTGGGGTGCTGACTTGAATGAAATAATAATAATAATAATAATAATAATAATAATAATAATAGTAATAAATTTTATTTATATCCCGCCCTCCCCAGCCGAAGCCGGGCTCAGGGCGGCTAACAACAATAAAATAGTACAACATTCTAAAATCATTTCATTATAAAATTAATTCAACTCAGATTGATGGCAACTGTTAGGCTAAAGTTCTGTGAAGATTGCCAAAGGAGGGCGTCAGACTGTGCCTTGGCCAAAGGCCTGGTGGAACCGCTCTGTCTTGCAGGCCCTGCGGAAAGATGTCAAGTCCCGCAGGGCCCTAGTCTCTTGTGACAGAGCGTTCCACCAGATCGGGGCCACGGCCGAAAAAGCCCTGGCTCTGGTTGAGGCCAGCCTAACCTCCCTGTGGCCTGGGACCTTCAGGATGTTTTTATTTGAAGACCGTAAGGTCCTCCGTGGGACATACATATTGGGGGGCCCAAGTAAGCGCCACCCACATAATCGACTGCAATACGTGGTGTGCACACATCATTTGAATGGCAGTGCCCGTCAACTGTGGGAGAGCCCGGCCCCCCTCAAATATTTTATTGCTTCACCCCATCAGAACTGCACAATACTCACCCATGGGCTCCTCCAGCGACAGAAGCTTCTTGCCCAGGGACACGGTGCCCCCGAAACCCCTCTCGGACCTGGCATCCAAACATTCTTCCACACTCAGCAGGAAACCCTGGGGGAGGGGGGCACAGGAAGCTTGGGTCAAGCCAGGCCACTGGTCCATCTGGGTCGGCAGGTGGGCGGGAGGTCCGCCTGCCGACCACATGGTGTTACCGTGGCATCGTGTAAAAAGTGCTTTGAAATCCCAGAACTGGGTCTTCAAAGCACCTTGAAAGGGAACGGTTCCTCCCCCAACTTTCGCAGAGGGGTCCATGGATCCCCTTGCTGAAACAGTGGTGTAAAAATCCTCTGTTTTAGCTGGAGGTTCTGATGCAACCCTGATTTTGAGAGGAGTGTGTCTCAGAATTGCATGCACAAAGGGAGTACAGTGGGACCTGGTTACGCTTCAGGTTACAGACTCCGCTAGCCCAGAAATAGTGCTTCAGGTTAAGAACAGAAATCGTGCTCTGGCAGCGCGGCGGCAGCAGGAGGCCCCGTTAGCTAAAGTGGTGCTTCAGGTTAAGAACAGTTTCAGGTTAAGAACGGACCTCCGGAACGAATTAACTACTTAACCCGAGGTACCACTGTATGTTCCCAACCCCATCTACTTAACAGGGGATCCTATGCAGCTGATAAACGAGGGTCAAATCCTTCTCGGTCTGATTGCGCGCTGCCGTTCACTGCTGGGACCAGAGGCCCGCAGCCAACACAGGATTTAACCCTGCTGTAACACCTAATGGAGGGGGCGCGGGTGGCGCTGTGGGTTAAACCACAAAGCCTAGCACTTGCTGATCAGAAGGTCGGTGGTTCGAATCCCCATGACGGGGTGAGCTCCCGTTGCTCGGTCCCTGCTCCTGCCAACCTAGCAGTTCGAAAGCACGTCAAAGTGCAAGTAGATAAATAGGTACCGCTCCGGCGGGAAGGTAAATGGCGTTTCCTTGCGCTGCTCCGGTTCGCCAGAAGCGGCTTAGTCATGCTGGCCACATGACCCGGAAGCTGTACACCGGCTCCCTCGGCCAATAAAGCGAGATGAGCGCCGTAACCCCAGAGTCGGCCACAACTGGACCTTATGGTCAGGGGTCCCTTTACCTTTACACACCTAACGGACAACGTCAAAAGTGACTCTTCCAGGGTTTCAGGCAGTGGATCTCTCCCGGTTCCACCTTGAGAGGCCGGGGGTTGAACGGAGGACCTTCTACATGCCAAGCAGACGTCCTGCCACCCAGCCACAGAAACGAAAGAGGTTCCTCGCAAGGGAGCCTCCTGTGATCTGGGCAGGAGGGAGCTTTGGCGGAAATGGGTTGGAAGAGGCTTCCCTCCCTCCTATGGATGGGTAATTTCAGCACCTACCAGGCTAAGAGAGGGCATCAGGAAGCCATCAGGCTCCAGGCCACGGGTGCGCTTAGGGAGCCCTGCCTCCAGGAAGACATCTCTCTCTTCCTCCACACTCAGCTCCCGGGCCCTGTTGGGTGAACGGCGGAAGGAGGTGGGAGAAAGAAGACGATATGAGATTATGCCCAGACAAAGTTACCTATGTATTTATTTATTTATTCATTCATACCCCACCTTTTTTTATGGGACGTGGGTGGCGCTGTGAGTTAAACCACAGAGCCTAGGGCTTGCTGATCAGAAGGTCGGCGGTTCAAATCCCCGCAACGGGGTGAGCTCCCGTTGCTCGGTCCCTGCTCCTGCCAACCTAGCAGTTCGAAAGCACACCAGTGCAAGTAGATAAATAGGTACCGCTCTGGTGGGAAGGTAAACGGCATTTCCGTGCGCTGCTCTGGTTCGCCAGAAGCGGCTTAGTCATGCTGGCCACATGACCTGGAAGCTGTACGCCGGCTCCCTCAGTCAATAAAGAGAGATGAGCGCTGCAACCCCCAGAGTCGGCCACGACTGGACTTAAATGGTCAGGGGTCCCTTTACCTTTACCCCACCCTTTCCCCTGGGAGAACTCAAAGTGGCTCACAGATAAAAATAGGATGTAGCGCAGGCACAAAGAACAGGACTTTAAAACTATAATCCAACATCCTCCCCCCCCCTTTTTTACTTAATTTTTTAATTATGTAAAAATGAGGTGGTCAGTTAAATATTAATGCTAAAACACTACCAGAAACTGAGGCTACATTTACAGCACGATGACACCACTCCTAAACAGGCATGGCTTTCCCCCAAAGAATTCTGGGAGCTGTAGTTTGTTAAGGATGTGGGAACTCCCATTTGGATTGAGTTTACGCAGAATATATTAGGTTACTGACAATTATGTGTGTATTAGAATGATACGAATATACACATCTGTATATTCACGCATGGTAATGTCTTTTTTCTTTCATTCTCACTTTTTTCTGTCTCTCCCCCCCCCCAATCTTTTCATAAATGAAGATAAAATAAAAAAGATGTGTTGGTGTTTTTTTAAAAAAAGGGGGCGAATGCGGAAAGTTGTCAAAGTGGTTTTAGCGCTCAACCTCTCTTCACAGTGAACTCTAGTTCTGAGAGTGGAGTAAGGGTGTTGGCTTTATTATTTCTGCTTCCAATTTACCATTTCACTTGCAAGCCGCCCTGGAGGGGCATGTCACTTTTTATTTAAAAACTGCTATATAAAAGCCAACCCTCCCCTTACTTCATGGGTCGGCAAACTAAGGCCCGTGGGTCAGATGTGGCCCAATCGCCTTCTCAATCCGGCCCACGGATGGTCCGGGAATCAGCGTGTTTTTACATGAGTAGAATGTGTCCTTTTATTTAAAATGAATTTCTGGGTTATTTGTGGGGCCTGCCTGGTGTTTTTTGCATGAGTAGAATGTGTCCTTTTATTTAAAATGCATCTCTGGGTTATTTGTGGGGCCTGCGTGCTGTTTTTACATGAGTAGAATGTGCGCTTTTATTGAAAATGCATCTCTGGGTTATTTGTGGGGCATAGCAATTCATTCATACCCCCCCAAATATAGTCCGGCCCCCCACAAGGTCTGAGGGACAGTGGACTGGTCCCCTGCTGAAAATGTTTGCTGACCCCTGCCTTACCTCTTCCTCCCACCCACGGAGGCCGCCTGGCCATTTTGACCGCTCCCGTCCTGCACAGCCTGGATCTTGACGGACGCCACCATCTCCACCACTTGCTCCGCCCCGCATGGGGGGCTCCCTGGGGGCTGGGCAGGGCGGGGGTGGCTCAGACTGGTGTCGCTGCCCCAGCGGGGGAGAGTGGTCTGCTCGGGTGGGCGGGGGGAGACTCCGTGGAAGCTTCTGGAGCGAGGCCGCGGGGGCGGCGAGGTTGGCCGGGTCCCCGGCCCCAGGACGCCGCCCCGTTTCTCAGCCAGCCAGGGCGGGTGGTCAGTGCTGCTGAGCTGGAAATCGTCGTCCATCGAGATGTACGGGGCCAGCATCTCCAGGTCCAGGCCTTCATAGTCCTGCAGGGGGCGGCAGAGAGCTGTCAGCGACAATGGGAACATTTGCGGGGGGAAAAGCTCGGGAGAGGCTTGCGGAAATTCACATTCTCAAGAGGCAATATGTCCTTTGATGAGCTCCCAGCTTCGCCGCCAGACAAGTGTCAGGCTTACTTGGCGATAGGCAGACACAGCTATGCCAAGGGAAGTTTAATGGCGGCTAGACCAAGGCTGTCCATTGCTGCTCATGACACCAAATAATAAAATAATAGCAATAGTAGACTCAGGACAAGCATCAGTGGGGGCCAGTGACTTCATCAGCTTGTCAAGGATGCCAAATGATGGTGCCGGCCTCATAGATTCCATTTTTTAAAAGAAAACAAAACATTCCTAAATTGACAGGTACTATAGAATTTAGGGGAGCAGGGAGAACAAATACTCTAAAAAATAAAATAAAACACATGTTGGTGTTTTTTTAAAATAATTGTTTAGGTGGCAGAAATGACTGGCAGAATCCGAGACCAGGGAGAAGAGTCGGTGAAAGAAGACTGGAAGAAATTTAAAGACTATTTACAGAAATATTGTAAAATTAATGAATTTTAGAAGGATGTTGGATAGAAACTAAGTGGTTTCCAGCTGTAATGCTTTAAGAGATACGAAAAAAGGTTCACAAATGGGTAAAAGCTTAATGGTAAGGATTTGCTGAACTAACAAACTGAACTGGAATACAAAAAAGGGAGGTACGAGGAGGTCCGGGGAAATAAGTGTATGGAAGATATGCTATGGAAAATTAATGTGTTTTTAACTGTTTTTATTTTGTATGTTTCTTTTTATTTTTCATTTCTTTGTTATATCTTAATAAGGGTTTTGTTATTCTTTTTTCTGTATCTTGTATTTTTTTGTATCTTTATTCATGCTAATTCGAGTTAGTGAAAACAAACCAGGGTAATCAAACCGTAAGATGATATCTTGGGTTTGTTTCCTCCCACTAAATCACAGTTCCCCGAGTTCATACATAGCAGAAAGCTGCGGTTTTCGTCAGAAGTAGAACCGGAAGTTTTCACAACCCTTCTCTCGCTCACGAAGGAAGGAGAGGGGAGGGGCACAGAACAAGTACGAGGCGCCAGCTCCCACCAGCATAGCGAGCAGCCAGGAATGATGAGAGCTGCAGCCCAATATCACTGGCACCCATCTAAGTCATAATTTAAGTCACCTGGGCATAAACAAAGCCATTTCTATGTTCGGCGCACATGCTGTTGGCATTGAACCAATCCTGAAAGACAGTATTTTTCGCTCTATAGGACGCACCGGACCATAGTAGGGGGAGAACAGGAAAAAAAAATTTTTTTCTTGTTCTCCTCCTCTAAAACAAGGCGCGTTCAAGGTGCATTCACCCAAAGCCTCCGGAGTGCAGTGGGAGTTCCCACTGCGCTCTGGAGGCTTCAGGCGGCTACCTTGGAAGCCTGGAGAGCGAGAGGGGTCAGTGCGCACTGACCCCTCTCGCTCTCCAGGCTTCAGTGAAGGCAACCCAAAGCCCACTGCCAGCCTCAAAGACCAGGTCGGGGAGCAGTGCAAAGGCGGTATGCCGCCTTCCCGTTGCCCCCTGAGCTTGTGGGGCTGGCGGTGGGGGGAAGCGCTGCTTTCCCCCACCGCCAGCCTCAAAGACCCCTGAAGCCTTTGGAGCGCAGCGCAAGTTCCCGCTGCACTCCAAAGGCTTCAGGGACAGCCTTTGGAGCCTCCACAGGGCAGCGGGGTGCAGGCACCCTGCGGAGGCTTTGCGCAGCCATCCCCAAGCTAGAACAGCAAGACGGAGCGCTCTGCAGCTGTTCTGGCTTCGGGGACAGCCTTTGGAGCCTCTACAACTCCAAAGGCTGTCCCTGAAGCCTGAAGCCTTTGGAGCACAGCGGGAACTTGTGCTGCGCTCCAAAGGCTCCGCAGCGCTCCGTCTCCCTGTTCTGGCTTTGGGCTTAGCCGCGCAGCCTGCATTCGCTCATAGGACGCACACACATTTCCCCTTAACTTTTGGAGGGGGAAAAGTGCATCCTATAGAGCGAAAAATATGGTACTTGAAGCATGTGCCACTCGGGACCCTGTGTACCTTGAATGTGACTTCCGCTAACTGTGTACATGTGGCTTTTTCTTCTTGTTGCTTCGCAGCAACTGCTTTATTGTGTTGGCTACTGGAAGCCCGCTCCCTCCCTGATGACGTAAGGCTCCCACTCTGGCTTGTGACATTTCAATAACTTTAAGGGCTAGAAACTTGGCTTGTAAAAACAAAATGGACGCTGGCATTTGAAGGTCAGTGAGTTCAGTACCAAACTGAATGAACACACATGGGAATGGACCCGAGTACTCGGTTGGTTGCCATTGAGGGGCCTGGTAGGAATTTTTCCACTTGGCAAATTGGCACCAGCCACTTGGTTTTCGCCTACCCGTAGCAAATCGCCACAACTTTCTTGGTACTGGCGGTTAGGCATTGGTATTGTTCTGTAGACGGAAGAGGGGAGGTGGCGCCATCACCTGCCCCGCATATTGAAGGATAGTCCAGTAAAGGATTCCGGGGGGCCTGGCCCTGTCCGAAGCCTGGGGAGGTGAGGGCCTAAGGCACGCCCCCTATCGGTGACCCCGGGGAAGTTCCTAGTTGATGTGCATCAGCAGGACTCCCCCTACTGGTGATTAACCCTTCCCAGACTTCAAGCGGATGGGCTGAAGTCGGATGTAGTCGGTTAGGACCAATGCCTAAGCCAATACCGCTTATCACCTGTAACCAATAAAGCTGTGGCCTTATTTAGCCCATTAACCTTAATAATTGTGCCATGTGTCATTATTTCCACGGGGGGTGGGAACTCGCCACGCAATGGAGCTGAGCCCTCTCCGTCCGAGGTTGGGAGCCCCTGAAGCAGAGAGCCTTCCCTGCCCAATGATACCTGCAGGGCCGTCTCCATTGACTGAGTCTCCTTGCTGGAAGCGAAGAGCTTCTGCACGTTCTCCATGTCAAAAAGCAGCTCTTCTGGCAGCTCGACCTAGAGGGGGAAACAAAAGCAAAACATGGGTGAAGATGCTCTCGTTTTGCCAATGTTTCTAGGATCAAGCCTTCGACAAGCATGGATCTCAAGCAGAGTAGAGTCTCATTTCTTATAGGGAAACCTGATCTGTTGTCATCCCATCTGTCTTGAGACACAGAATGCAGTGTTCCTCGGGGGATGAAGTCAAAGCACAGGGTTAAAGTGACCTCCCCGGGAAACCTGGGCAGGCTGTCTGGAGATCCTGGACTGCCCAGATGACAAGACCCTCCTCTCGGCCTCGCTGGGTTGGTCCAAAGCAGCAGTTCTCAAGCTGTGGGTCCCCAGATGTTGTTGAATTACAACTCCCATCACCCATAACTAGCAAGGCCAGAGCTGTTGAAAAAGGCTGGTCCAAAGGAATGTGGAGCAAGGCATTTGGCACCAGCTTGGCTGCAGGAGTTTCTGGAAGGAGGCGTACAAGGCACCCTCCAACCATCTTAGGGACTCTGGAAACCTGATCACAAGGTTAGGAACGCACTGTGGGACCTGGTTGGCCACTGCAAGAACAGGATGCTGGTCTAAAAGGGCTTTTGGTCTGATCCTGCCAGGGACCGGACGGAGGATGAATGGTGGCGACCACCTCCCTCTTCTCCTGTACCTTCCCAAGAAGAGGAGGACAGTATAGATTTACAACGGTGGTTTGCAGAGGGTCACAGCTCAGAGAGGGAAGAGGGGCAAAGCTGGGAAATAACAGGAGAAGCAGAGCAGCAACAGCTGGCTGACCACTAGAGAGCATCCCAGACCCAGCTTCTCCCAGAAACCGGCGAGCAGTGAAAGTAGGGGAGCAGAGGGCGAAGAGACAATTGACCCTAAGCAGCCACCGTAAGAGGGGTGGTGCTGTTGATGACTGAGACGGGAAGGGCGGAGATTATTTGGAGCAACGCCATTACTCCAAGAGGCAGCATTTCTACGCCTCTCTCTGTGAATATTGAATAAAAGGCACTGCTAAGAGCTTCTCGTCTTTCCATTACTGGGAGCATGCTGTGAGGGAGGGGGCTCCAATTCCCTGAAGCCTGACAGGTCCAGGCCCATTCTTAAATGCACAGGCCAGGTCACCCTTGTCATTTGCACAGTGATACATCCCCATTAGGGACGTGGGTGGCACTGTGCGTTAAACCACAGAGCCTAGGGCTTGCTGATCAGAAGGTTGGCGGTTTGAATCCCCGCCACGGGGTGAGCTCCCATTCCTGGGTCCCTGCTCCTGCCAACCTAGCAGTTTGAAAGCACATCAAAGTGCAAATAGATAAATAGGTACCGCTCCGGTGGGAAGGTAAACAGCGTTTCCGTGAGCTGCTCTGGTTCGCCAGAAGCGGCTTAGTCATGCTGGACACATGACCCGGAAGCTGTACGCCGGCTCCCTCGGCCAGTAAAGCAAGATGAGTGCCGCAACCCCAGAGTCGGCCACGACTGGACCTAATGGTCAGGGGTCCCTTTACCTTTACATCTACATTCCTCCACCAAATAACCCTCCTCTTCTCCCCCTCCTTGCAGGTGACCCTGTCTCTGCAACACAACCTCCGAGGCACCAAATCCCCCAGGCAGGCCATCTGCCTGCACCCTAAACTCATCCCACATGGAGAAGGACTCCCTTCCCAAAGTCCACAACCTCCTTACCGGGTTCACTGGGCTCCTGCCTCCAGAAGTGTTCTTGGCAACCGGAGCAGGCTTGGGCGGTGCGGCCGGAGGCCTTGCCCGCAGGGTCCCTGGCGCTTGGCTCTGGGCCCCAGGGGGGTCGAAGATGGGGCCCAGCAGCTTCTGGAGGTCGGGGCTGCAGAAGCGCTTGGGGTCCAGCTGCAGCTCCTCTTCGCTGATGTTGGTGGGGCGCAGGAAGGCCAAGACTTTGGGGCCGCGCAGCTCTGGGGAGAGGAAAGAGGGAGCGACGGCATCACAGGCGAGAGTCCGGCTTGTTTCCTGAACTCCCTGCCCCGCAGAAAACCTCCCGCCCATGACTCCCGCCGCTCCATACCAAAGCTGAGGTTGATGATGGTGTCTCCCCCGTTGGCGTCCAGGTCGTCAAGGGCCCCGTCGGAGTCCATCCCCTCGAGGGAGGGCGGGGGCAGCCGGCGGTGCTCCCCCTGCCGCTCGGTCTGCTCCAAGGACAGCACAAGGCCCATCTCTTCCACCTGGCTGTAAAAAGGGTGTCGAGGCAAGGAGGTTGTGAACCTAAGGATACCAGATGTCCCCGTTTCCCGGGGACAGTCCCCGGATTTACAAGTCAGTCCCCATACAAAATCCATTGAGGCTGGAAAGTGTCCCCAGATTCATTGCAAAAAATCTAGTAACCTTATGTCAACCGAGCACGGCAGGGCCAATGCAACTGGCAGCCACAGACACCTGAGTGGGCAGGGAGGGTGTGGTTGCCAATATTTTACATCTGTTTTTTTCCTTTTCTCTCTCTCTCCCTCTTTCTCTGTGCGCGCGCACACAAACACAATATTTACGATACGATAATCTTTATTGTCATTGTCCCATATAGAACAACGAAATTGAAAAAATCTACATCAGACATTCAAAAACCAACAAGCCTGCTATCCCAGCTTGGTTAGCCCCTAAAAACTCTGATACCCCATAATTAAATATAATATACTCCCACAGAGACTACTTTACACTGCGTTTAAAACCAAAATGGCATTTGGATAGAAACTGGTTCTCAGGCGGCTAGTCCTAGTCTTTATAACCCTGTACCTTCTTCCAGAAGGCAGAAGCTGAAAGAGATCATTTCCGGGGTGCGCACTATCCTGCGCTATCTCTGCAGCTTTCTTATGACACCTGGAAGCATAGATTTGATCCAAGGTGGGAAGAGTGCACCCAATTATTCTCTCCGCAGTCTTTACAACCCTGGACAGCATTATTTTTTCCCTGACCGTGCAGCTCCCAAACCACACACAGAGACCATAAGTTAATACACTCTCCACAGTACAATGGTAAAATGCCATCAACAGGTCCTTTGAGAGATTATTTTTCCAGAGGATTCTCAGAAAATATAACCTCTGCTGTGCTCTCTTCATCATATTCATATTCATTTAGAATAAAATAAAATAAGGCAGAAGCATGACTTGCTACCAAGCAAGGTGGGTGCCTATCTCTTTGTCTCCTTGCCTTGAGAAGGCCTCTGATGCATAAAGTGGCAGAGGGTGCAGATTAATTCTACTCCCAGGCGGAAGAATAAAAAAAGGGAATGCAGTCGGCATCAAATCAACGACTGAGAAAGCTCCAAACCTCTGCTTTTGCTGAATAAGAGCTCCCAGAGCTATCCGGCGATGAGGACACAGCTATGACGTGTGTTGGGGAGTTTTGATTAGCAATTTTGAGGCTGTCATGTTAAACTACAGGTAACTCCCCACTTACGTGGGGTTTACGTTCTGAAGCACCGTGCATTTAAGTGAAATCGCGCACACTGGGAACGACACAGAAAAAGTCAGCAAGCTACACCTCTGGAAACTCTTGGAAAACCCTTTCAAAAATAGCAAAAATCCACTGAACTTCAGCACAATCGCGCCCTCCGAACTTCCTCGCTCAAAATCCAACTCTCCACAGGTCTCAAAGTCAGTGCAAGGGGTCCTGGGATTGCACTTGCAAAGGCTTGTGGGATTGTTTTCTCACATTTTTTTCCTGTTTTAGGGCCATTCTTGCCTCTTTTCGTGCCACTTCCGGGTTTGTGGTAATGCACGCATACATGTTCACATGTGCCTTGAATGTGTGTAAATGGGGAGTTGCCTGTATTAACTAGCCAGATACAGTTACTTACTTACTTACTTACTTACTTTATTTATTTATTTATACATACCTCGCCCATCTGGCTGGCTTTCCCCAGCCACTCTGGGCGGCTTTCAACAGAATATTAAAATACAATAATCCATTAAACATTAAAAACTTCCCTAAACAAGACTGCCTTCAGAGGTCTTCTGAAAGTATGGTAGTTGTTTTTCTCTTTGACATCTGAACACAAGATGAGCGCTTCTGGATCCACCTAGTCCACTCTCCCTGTTTCCAAAAGTGGCCAGAGACAGAATGTGCACAGGCTCCCAAACGCAGAAAACCCGGAAGTGATTGTTTCAGTTTTGCAAACGTTCTTTTGGAACCTGAGCGTCCAATCAGAAGCCGTGATTTGGTTTTCGAACGTTTTGGAAGCCGGACGGACTTCCGGGACGGATTACGTCCGACTTCTGAGGTACGACTGTACTTAAAAACTCAACTCCGTGTTGCCCAACACTACTGTTCAAACTGAAAATACAAAATTTCCCTGTCCAGTGTTGTTGACAAGATCTCCAGGCTACTTCCCCAAAACCAAATTAGGAACAAGGGGGATTCCTTGTGGCTGGTAGCTAATGATAAGCCCCTGGCTTTCTTTCCTCCGAAGAAACATAACACTTGCCACTGAGTAACTTAAAAACAGCACAATCCCCCAAACCTGAGGTTTCACGTTTCTCGGAAGCTTTGCCACAAGATCAGTTCCAAAAATGGTAAAAATCTGAAAGTCGCACGGGGTTGTGTGCTTTCTTTTGTTCATATGCTTTATATCAGGCATAGGAAAACTCCGACCCTCCAGATGTTTGGGACTACAATTCCCATCACCCCTAGCTAACAGGACCAACCATCAGGGATGATGGGAATTGTAGTCCCAAACATCTGGAGGGTCGGAGTTTGCCTATGCCTGCTCTATATGGTAAATCTCTGAGGAAAGCCCGAGTGCTAGATGACAGTTCACTGTTCCTTCTGAGCTGTATTATAGTTCTGTTCTCCAAGACTGTGACAATTTACATTTTTGGTTCCTTTGTTTTCCTTCTGCATTTCTCTACACTTAAATCTAATTAAAAAACACTCTCGGGGAAAGGAAATGTAAGTGGTAAAGGACTCCACAGTGGGAATGTTGTCAATTTAGAGAACGTAATGACAAGACCATAGTCATTTGATTGCAAGAAAATTTAAGTCGCTCTTTTCACCACCGCGCCAACAAACTAAACAAAAAACCCCCAGGGCATCTCTATATAATATTCGCTGTTCCTACAAGCCTCCCAGTCCAGGATTGTTCATTCATCGGGGGGCAGGGGATGGACACTTAAGAGACACACCACCCCTTCCCGGATTCTGACCTCAAGATGAAGTGGACACAGACGATGCTCTCGGGCTGGGAGTTTTTGCTGCTGGAGATGACCGTGGCTTGAGTCTGGGTCCACAGGTAGCCGCCGTTCCTGGCCAGGAAACGGTACTGCCCGGTTACCGCCTGCCCCTTGCTCAGCACTACCAGAAGGAAGTGAAACACAGACAGTCTAGAACAGACAGACAAACGGATAAGCTGGGAGGTGGAGGCAGCGAGACAGGAAGGCGGAACAGGCGGCAGCCGCTCTTGTTTACAAGCTACTCACTTACGGAACTGGAAATCCCCCACCAAGGCAGATTTTGTCCCTCTTGACGCAGAGCGTCCCACTCATCTTTAAATGCCTGCAATGCCCTTTTTGCCGCGCTGGTGCCCTCCTGATGCGTTGGGCTAAGGCTGCATCCACATTTAAGGCATTAGAACTTGACACAATCCTGGCTTCCCCAAAAGAATTCTGGGAGCTGTATTTAGTTGTTAAGGGTGATGAGGGTGTTTAGGTGAAGGGACCCCTGACCGTTAGGTCCAGTCATGGCGACTCTGGGGTTGCGGCGCTCATCTTGCTTTATTGGCCGAGGGAGCCGGCGTACAGCTTCCGGGTCATGTGGCCAGCATGACTAAGCCGCTTCTGGCGAACCAGAGCAGCTCACGGAAATGCCGTTTACCTTCCCGCAGGAGTGGTACCTATTTATCTACTTGCACTTTGACATGCTTTCGAACTGCTAGGTTGGCAGGAGCAGGGACCGAGCAACGGGAGCTCACCCCGTTGCGGGGATTTGAACTACCGACCTTCTGATCGGCAAGTCCTAGGCTCTGTGGTTTAGACCACTTCGCCACCCCATTTAGGGCGTTTAAAGGTAAAGGTAAAGGTACCCCTGCCCGTACGGGCCAGTCTTGACAGACTCTAGGGTTGTGCGCTCATCTCACTCTAGAGGCTGGGAGCCAGTGCTATCCGCGGACACTTCTGGGTCACGTGGCCAGCGTGACGAAGCTGCTCCGGCGAACCGGCACAGCACACGGAAACGCCGTTTACCTTCCCGCTGGTAAGCGGTCCCTATTTATCTACTTGCATCCGGGGGTGCTTTCGAACTGCTAGGTTGGCAGGCGCTGGGACCGAACGACGGGAGCGCACCCCGCCGTGGGGATTCGAACCGCCAACCATGCGATCGGCAAGTCCTAGGTGCTGAGGTTTTACCCACAGCGCCACCTGGGTGTTTGGAGGAGCCCTATTCCCCTCACAGAACTACAGTTCCCAGGGTGGTTTAGCAATCAACCCCTCTTGAAGCTGAGAATTTCAGCTCTGGGAGGGATACCGGGGTCTCAAAACAATTCTCAGCACACTTAACAAACTGCAGGTCCCAAAATTCCTTGCGGCAAGCCAGGACTGCTTAGTGTGAATGTGGCCTACAATTCTGACCAGCTCCAGCCAGCGGGGACTACAACTCCCATGAGCCTCAGCCAGCTTGGTCGTGTCAGGCGACAACTCAGATGAGCCCCAGCCAGCAGGAACATGTTTTCTGGAGCTCATGGGAGCTGTAATCCAAAAAAACTGGGGAAGCACCAGGTTGGCAAAGACCTGCTCTTATCTGCAGCAGAAATTGGAGAGATTGTGTCCACTGCTCCCTTACTAAGTCACCCCCTTTCGAAGGGACCCCACAGGAGTTCTCGCCATGCCTTGTCTGTGGCTTGTTGAAAGCACTGCACATGAACGGTCCACTCTGCCAGAACCATCATTTCATGTTGGCTCAACCACCTCAGAATCCACTCTACATTCAGTGCCAGCAACAAGGGAAAGAAAGGAAACTGAGGAATTTATGGGGAATTTTGGGGGGAAATGTACAGCGACAGGGACGTTGAATGACAGCGCACGTGGGGAAGCAAGGAAAACTGGGAGCCACGAGGAAGGCACCAGCCAACTCTGTTGATTTCGGTTTCCCAGTTCTTGCCTTTGAAATAATGAGGACTAGGAACTTGCTTTTTAAAATAGAGACAGGCAACGTTGCAAAGAAATCGGCTTCTCTGTATTACGATGCCTGATTAACAGAAGGAACCGGCCCAGGACACAGCAGTTGTCCTGTTTGGTTCCATATTGCGTGTGCTTAAATGTGTGTAAAAAATACACATTCTGCACCAAAAAAAAGCTGAATCCACCAGCTTGCATGAATCATGCAAATGAAGTTAGTATTTATCTGATCATTTGGCCTTTCGTTTACCCTGCTTCCACCAGCCACAGACAAACAGGCAGAGAATAAGGCAGAGCAAGCAGTCCCCAGCCATCTCTGTATTCTGAGGTTCTACCCAACACCTCTTCAAGTTTAAGGACTAGAAACTTAGTTTAGGAGAAGTGAGAGCCATGGCGAGCAAGGTGGTAAGCTTTGATTCCTGATACTACATTCTGGACCCTGCACCAAGGCCGCAATAAAGCAAACTGGAGGAAGGCCACATCTGCATACATTTAAAGTGCAGTGATACCACTTTAAACAGCCATGGTTTCCCCCAAAGGATTCTGGGAGCTGTGGTTGCTTAAAAATGCCGACAGTTGTTAGGACACCCCATTGCTCTCCCGGAACTACAGTTCCCATAATTCCCTGGGCAGAAGGATGGATTGTTAAATCACTCAGCGAACTGTAGCTCTGGGATCAGAGGGGCCTCCTCACAACTCTCATCTCCCAGAATTCTCTGGGAGAAGCCATGACTCTTTACAGTATGGCACGCAAATGCAGTCAAAGTTCTTCTCTTTTCCATTTTTGCTGCAGGGAACGGTTTTCCCCAGATCAGGATCCCGCTCCGTGTGTGTGTGACACTCAGGGAAGGTGTAACTTACGGGTGTTGATGCTCTTGCTGACAGAATCAGAGTCCAGGGCGTGGATATACTCGTAAATGGAGCAGCCCAGCAAGTCTTCAGGCGTGTAACCAGCCACCTCTGCAATCCTGCCCGGGGAGATGTCACGTGAGAGAGGCAGAATGGAAGATCTCTACCCAAGGGTGGAGGAAACTGTTCCAGTTCACATGTACCTTTACAGAACTGCCACATCAATGGCCAAGGGGCTCAGATACCCAAAACCAACTCCCTTATTTTATTTTATTTTATTTTATTTTATTTTATTTTATTTTATTTGTTTCCAGTATTTATATACCGCTTTTCAGACAGAATTTGCAAAGCGGTTTTTGCGTAAGATCATGACTACAGGAGCCACTATGGGCTCTGGATGTCCCTCATGCTTCTTGCATCACTGCCCTCAAGGCAAGACGGCAGAAAAATCCCCCCTGATGTCAGAGAAGTCCTGTCACCGCCAATATCTCCCTCTCGTCCATCACTTCCTCCTGTAACTTTGGGGGTGGGGAGTCCTCAAAAACTGCCAGGGCAAAGTAGGGTGGGAGAGACACCCAGCGGAGCCACAAAAGAGCTCCTAATTCTCAAGCAGGAGGTGGGTACTGCATTGCCCGTTCCCGGAAAGTGCCGGAACATGGGATCCCCAGGCTGCCCACCAACTGCCTCCAACGGACCGCCTCAGCTCATGGCCTGATCCTGGTCTTTGTCAGCCTGGTTTTCTTCCAAATGCTATGGACAACAACTCCCATCAGTTCAACGTTGAGGACCCTGAGTTAATTCTGCTACAGTCATACCTCATGTTACGCTTGCTTCGTGTTACGTCTTTTCAGGTTGCGTCCCGCGGCAACCCGGAAGTACCAGAAAGGATTACTTCCAGGTTTCGCCGCTCGCGCATGCGCAGATGCACAAAAATGGCACCACGCGCGTGCACAGAAGCTGCAAATCGCAACCCACGCGTGCGTAGACGCACCGCTGCAGGTTGCGTTCCTTTCGTGTTGCGAACGGTCCTCCGGAACGGATCCCGTTCGCAACCAGAGGTACCACTGTGTTTGTCCAGCTGACTGCAGACTGACTGTCTGGAGTCAGCTGGAAATTCGCTGTCAGTGAGGAAGACCATTCAGATTTGACCGTTGGAGGAGTTGGAGGGGAAAGCCATTCTGAAGGAAGTTTACCTCAGAAAGCGTGGCTGAACATGTCCCCCGGCCCTCAACATGGCCTGTAAATACAATCCTCCTCAAGTTATATAGTGTTCTTGTTCCGTTTGCCGTTGGGTGAAGTATTAGAAGTTTCCTTTCTCTCTGGTCCGTATGCTTCACCCCAGTTGCTCTGCTAGCCCCGCGAGCGCCAGCCAGCACGGCCGTTTCAAATAGCAACTCCCATCAGCCCCACCCAGCTCAATTTCCCAGCCCTCTGTGCCTCATGCTCACCTGTCGTCGCAATAGGTAAACTTCATGTCCATGGTGTGGCGGCTGAGGAAGGTGCCGCTGTCCAGCGGGGTCTCGATGTTAGCGGGGTGTGGGATGGCCTCGCAGATCAGCACCAAACACCGCAAAGGGGGCTCCACGAAGCCGCCTTCTGCCTCCTTCCCCCCTGCTGGCTTGGCGGGCGCATAGGACCGCATATGGCCGGAGCAATGGAGCACCTGCGAGAGAAGAAGAACTGGGGCAGTTCCAACCCACCAATTCATTCACAGACCCCGCTCCAGAAGGTGTTCTAAGATGGCGCTGCCTCTCAGAAACATCCTTACGTTTTCATTCATGCTACTTGGGTTTTTAAGACTTTAATTTTCAGATGTAAACGTAAAGGGACCCCTGACCACTAGGTCCAGTCGTGGCCGACTCTGGGGTTGCGGCGCTCATCTCGCTTTACTGGCCGAGGCAGCTGGCTTACAGCTTCCAGGTCATGTGGCTAGCATGACTACGCCGCTTCTGGAGAACCAGAGCAGTGCACGGAAACACCGTTTACCTTCCCGCCGGAGTGGTACCTATTTATCTACTTGCTCTTTGACATGCTTTCGAACTGCTAGGTTGGCAGGAGCAGGGACCCAGCAACGGGAGCTCACCCCCGTCGCGGGGATTTGAACCGCCCACCTTCTAACCGGCAAGTCCTAGGCTCTGTGGTTTAACCCACAGAGCTACGCGCGTCCCTAATTTTCAGGTAACGAGTTGCAAATACAAAACCACCCGTTGCGCATCTGTAGGATGTGTCTATCCCACCTTAACAGTGATGGGAAAAAGAATATACAGTGGTACCTTGGTTCTCGAATTTAATCTGTTCCCGGAGTCCGTTCAATTCCCGGAATGGTTTGAAAACCAAGGTGCGGCTTCCGATTGGCTGCAGGAGCTTCCTGCCCTCAATTGGAAGCCGCGGAATATATTTGGCTTCCGAAAAATGTTCGCAAACTGGAACACTCACTTCTGGGTTTGTGCCATTTGGGAGCCAAGCCGTTCGACTCCCAAGGTACCACTGTATATACACACACACACACACTCACTCGAGAAAGATAGCAGTCATATGTACAATCCCACCAAAATATATAAATATAGGTATCATCATCATCATCGTTTTGTGCCGTCTTGGTGCTGGACCAAGCCATGGTTTTCAGCCCCCTCATTTCTATAATGATGCCCTCAGTGCCGTTGCCACAGTGAGGCCTTCCTTTCTCCAGAGTGGCACTTTGCTCTAGAGCAGATTCCCAAACTTATTTGCACTAAAGGTAAAGGGTAAAGGCACCCCTGACCATTAGGTCCAGTCGCAGATGACTCCGGGGTTGCGGCACTCATCTCGCTTTATTGGCCGAGGGAGCCGGCGTACAGCTTCCGGATCATGTGGCCAGCATGACTAAGCCACTTCTGGCAAACCAGAGCAGCGCACGGAAACGCCGTTTACCTTCCCGGCAGAGCGGTACCTATTTATCTACTTGCACTTTGACGTGCTTTCAAACTGCTAGGTTGGAGGAGCAGGGACCGAGCAACGGGAGCTCACCCCATCGCGGGGATTTGAACCGCCGACCTTCTGATCGGCAAGCCCTAGGCTCTGTGGTTTAACCCACAGCGCCACCCGCATCCCTCTTTATTTGAACCCTTTTCAGGAAAAAAACAACAACCAATTACTCTGTGTCCCCCTGGAAAGCTACCTTCTTTAAGAAAACAAACAGAAAGATGCAGGGACAAATTTGTTTTCTTTTATGCATGTATGTTTCTCTACTGCCCCTATTATTTTTATTCAACGCTCCTTCCCTCCCTCCCCCCCCCGCCTTGCAACCGAGGCGACTACCGCCCCTCTGGATTGTTCCACCGCCCCCCAGTGGGGCGGTATTGCCCCACTTTGGGAAAAGAGCCCTCTTTCCCCCATACTCCCAACACAAAACCCATTTGGTTCCATGCACACCCTCTTAAGACGCATTCGCTCACTTTCCAGGTGGCGGACTTGAGGTTGACGGTGCGCCCCCTGGTGGTGAGGGTGCTCTTCATGCGCAGGGAGAAGCTGCGTTCTGTCTTCACCTCCTTCTTCTTTGAGAAACCTGGGGGGGGATTAGAGATGGAAAAGCCTGTCAAGATCTGGGGGGCACTAGTCCAAAGGCTGGTGCAGGGAGGGAGCAGGAGTTGGGAGTCCGGGGAGGGAGGAGAACGTGCTTCTTCTGTGGCAGGAAGCGGAGAAGGGGAAATCAAGTTCTGGACGCACATTTTAATTATAAGAAAATGTAAGGAGCGCAGTGCCGTGCGCCAGACTAGGACCTGGGGGAAGCGGGTTCAAATCCCACCCCTCAGCCACAAAGCTCAATGGGTGGCCTCGGTCTGGTCACTCAATCTCAGCCTAGCCTACCTCACAGGGCTGTTTTGAAGATAGCATAGGGAGGGAGGGAGCAGCATACACTGCCCCAAGCTGGTGGGTGACCTCGGGCAAGTTGCAATCTCTCAACCTGAGCCACCTGATAGGGCCCTTGTGGGCATATTCCGTTCCATTGCATTCCACCCTATTTTTTGCTGTTTCTCCCCACCAAAAGCCACACATTCCAGGCCCACAGCGAGCATGAGCACCGAACAATTTTTCAGGCTTCCCCAACTCTATTAAAGTTCACCCTCCCCCCATTTCTAAAAAAAAACAAAACGCACACACACACGTTTTTGTACTTCTGTTACTCCTGCGAGTCTGCAGACACCTCCCTGGTTGTTTTCATGACAGTGGGAGAATAAGGCCACCTCTACAACATACATTTTTAAAGTCCTGTGCTACCACTTTAAACAGACATGGCTTCTCCCCAAGAACCCTGGGAGTTGTAGTTTGTTTTGGGTGCTGAGAATCATTAAAGGTAAAGGTAAAGGGACCCCTGACCATTGGGTCCAGTCGTGGCCGACTCTGGGGTTGCGGCACTCATCTCGCTTTATTGGCCGAGGGTGCCGGCGTACAGCTTCCGGGTCATGTGGCCAGCATGACTAAGCCGCTTCTGGAGAAGCAGAGCAGCGCACAGAAACGCCGTTTACCTTCCCGCTGGAGCGGTACCTATTTATCTACTTGCACTTTGATGTGATTTCGAAGTGCTAGGTTGGCAGGAGCAGGGACTGAACAACAGGAGCTCACCCCGTCATGGGGATTCGAACTGCCGACCTTCTGATCGGCAAGCCCTAGGCTCAGTGGTTTTTTTTTTGTTTTCCAACTTAAATTTTTATTAGTTTTCATCAAACATACATTCCAATACATTCATTGTATTAATACATCTCTAGGCTCTGTGGTTTAACCCACAGTATCACCTGCGTCCCACTTGAGAATCATTAGGAGACTCTTAATTCTCCTCCGGGAATTACAGTTCCCATAGTTCCCTGGGAAGAGGGGTTGACTGTTAAGCCAATTGTAGCTCTGGAAGGAGCCCCCAAATAGCTCTCAGCCCCCTCCCCTTAACAAACCACACTTCCCAGAATCCTTTGGGGGAAGCCACGATTGCTTAAAGCGGCAATGTTCCTGCTTCAAACGCACAGTGCAGATGGGGGGGGTCCACGTCTGCTATTAGCACATCACGAGGAGTCTGTGAGATAAAGACGCTCTGTTTGTGTGTGGGTCATGGGGAGGAACATTTCTCAAGGCCCAAATGGGCATGCATGGGAGAGGACGGGGGAGAAGCACTCACCTTGCCTTGGGCTCAATACATCTTGCAGTTCTTCTTGATCACAGGGATGAATGAAGTCAAAGACGCTGTGACCAATGAGCTCCAGCTAGCGGAAGGAAAGAGAATTGGGGACATCAGAAAGCAACGCACGGGGTGGGGGGAGGTTGGAGCCAGCACACTGCCTCCGCTAAGCCTAGCGGGACACCATATGCTAGAAGCGCATACAAAGGAGCCGAGATCTGCTAGAAAGCAGCCAGTTGGTCTGGGCTCTCTGGAGCCAGCCAATCAGAAATCCCACCTCCTTCCTGCGTTCCCTTTCACTCTCCCACGTACGCCAGAAATTCAATAAAGCCGCATCACATATCGCGAAGGGCACATTTTCCCGAACGCCTCTGTTTTGCTTTTAGGTTGCTTCCGAGTCTCGAGCAAAAACTTCTGCAGCCGTTTCAGAGCAGGCGCTTAGCAGGAGAAAACCACCGGCCTCAGTACAACCAGCACCGTCAGAGGGGAAAGCGAATTTTGCCCATGTCAAGAATTCTGGTTGCTTGGGGATAAAGAAACGCATTGGTTCAGCTTGGTTTTCAGCAACCTGAGTGCATTCCGTTTCCAAAAAGAGGAAAGTTAAAGAGGGGGAAAAAACCCAGCATGATTTGAAAATATATTTTGGAGAAAATGTAATAATTCTCTCTCAGGATTAAGAAGAAAAACAAGATTTTGGAAGTGAAAACTGGAAAATGTTATTTTCTAGCAACCCTTTCCTGAGGGCAAGACTCCACTCCCAAAATCACAGGGCTGAGTGAAACGTCAAAGGCATCATCACGCTGTAACTACTCCAGTAAAATAAAACAATCCATTCAGCAATCAATCTGCCACAGGGGATTTTTTTTCCGCCTTAGAAAATACCCAGAGGAATGCCAACACTGACTGCGATTCAGCAAGCATGAAAGAAAAGTGTTGTCCTTAATTTTCCAGTGCACACAAAATAAAGACAATATAAAGCCTTTGTTTCCGGACTGCCAAGTTGCACAAGTAATTTCAAAGTGCATAGCAACCACTTCCACAATGAACACTCTCTTTCAAAAGGTCACAGGCTCTCGCCCCAAACACTGATCTTCATCGGGCTGCCCTGTTAATATTCTGGGCTGCTGTCTTCCTGGTCAGGCCCACCCATACCCCTTTGCCCTCAGGGTCTTGGTTAGGAAGCAGCTGCCTGGAAGCAAAATCTTGGGATGACCTCCTCACCCTGAAAGTAACAGGGGAGTTTGCCATCTTCCTATTACAGATCATGGTTGCCAGAAGCAGTAAACCTCTGTACGCCAGCTGCCAGGAATCACAAGCAAGGAAGAGCGCTGTTGTGCTCGTGTCCTCCTGGTGATTTCCCCACTGGTTGGCCACTGGAAGAAGAGGATGCTGGACTTTGGCTGAATCCAGCAGGGCCCATCTTAAGTTCCTATGCTGCCCATGGCAGAAATGTCCAGAGTAAAAACAAATTGCCAAGTCCCCCATTAGAGAGGGCGTGATCTATGGGGAGCTGGCTTCAGGCACCAGGCCTGAACTCTGTGTTATGTCTGCAAACATGACGCAAAGGCTGGCAACATCAACCCTGGCGTGTGGGAATCCCTTGCAGACGACCGCAGGACCTGGAGACAGACCGTCAGGTCGTGCATCCATAGCAGTGGCCAGAGGAGGAATGACCGCTGGGAGAGAGCGCAGAATGAAGAAATGCTATTATACATAGGCAGCAGCACAACCGGACGCCTTCGTCTGCCCCGGCTGCAACAAAACATGTCTCTCACGTATTGGTCTCTACAGCCACAGCAGGTGCTGTAATTCTCCAATAGTTTGGCTTCTCCCCCAAAACCGCACTCTTCCTCTGTCTCCCAAGACAGACGAATGTGAACCAACCACAAGTCTCTTTCTGAAGAGTTGCTGAGAACGCGCTTGTGCCAAATGAATGATGAATGTGTTTGTGTCCCAAGACAGACAGATGCGAACCAACCACCAGTCTCTCTTTCTGCAGAGAGTTGCTGGGAACCCGCTTGTGGCAAATGAATGTGTTTGTGTGTGGTTTAAGTTCAGCTGCCCCCAGAGCCACACAAGACGTCCCTTCCCCTCCCCAGTGCCCGAAATAAAATTATCCTCAAGGAAGTTCTTGGCAGCAGGAGAATCAGAGCCGGTTCATCTCCCACCACCAAAAGAGGCCAGGACAGAAAGATGTGACTGGGAACATAACCAACTACACAAAGGTAGGAGTCACACCCACTGCCCTGCCCCATTTCCCACCTGGCCCCACACATTTTTGGCATGTGGCCCTTGGAAGGGAATCCAGCCTTCAAGCTAAGAAAGGTTCCCCGCCCTGGTTAACCTGTCCAGGCAAAATACTTCCTGCCAGTTTTGTGGAACTGCAGAACAGCATCCCCCTGACTTTCGTAGGTCCCCCACCTCATCAACCTGCACAGGTGTCCTCTGGTCCTGGCCAGGTGGCAGCGCCTCACCTGACTGAGGCCCAGGTGCTTGTTGACGTTCTCGGAGAGGTAGATCATGTCCCCTTCCTCGGTCAGGACCATGAGGAAGCCATCCAGAGCCTTCAGGTAATACGCGTCCACCTGTTCCTCTGCCTCCACCTCATCTCTCCATTCTCCTGGTTTTAAAGGAAGCAGAAAAAGAGTTGCTTCAGGGCAAAGCTCACGCAGGTACGTGCCATGGCACAGCGACAGGACCCTCAACTCTGGGGCAGCCTAGATGGCACATACACACAACACCTTGTTGGAAACAACCAATCTGGAAGTTCAAGGCTCCTGCTGAGAATGCCGCTTTCAAATCTCCTTGCCACTCGCTCTCTGGAACTTGTGGAGTGATCAAACTGCAGCTTTCTGACCTAAGGAACGTCTTACAATGAGCCTAGGCTTCATTGAGAACTCCTTGGGCCCAGAAATGGAAGACGCTATGAACTTTAAACCTCTGGCTGTGGTACAACATTATGTGGTCTTTGGCTACTGCAGAGAAAATAACTCTCAAAACCCAGAACATTTCTTACATGTCAAATTTCGATATGCAGAACTTTCTTCCCTCATCCGAATGTGAAATTTGGTTCCTCTATGTGTTTGGATGCTTTCATTTTTCAACATTATCTGCTCCCTATTTATTTATTCATTCTGTGAACCACCCTGATATCCTGTGATGAAAGGAGGTACATCAATTTAATAAGCGATTTTTATTTTTTTTGACAATACAGTCTATGTACTGCTTCTTTGTTTTGTACATTTGATTATGGTTTTTGGATTTTACATTAATAGAAATACACATACACACACTGCACTCCCGGAGCTAGAACAGCATAACAATCAATCCCTCTTTTCAGGGAATTGTAGCTCTAAGATGGCAACAGTGAGGTCTTCCAACAACTCTGAGTGCCCTTAATAAACTACAGCTCCCAGGATTCTTTGGGGGAAGCGATGACTGTTTAAAGTGGAATCAAAACGCTTTAAATGTATGGTTTGAATGGGGCCGATATTGCTTTACATCCAAAACTTTCAAAGCAAAATCCTTCAGGAAACATGACACAGTAGGCACAGTACATATTTTAACACCCAGAAATTGACGAAAGCCACAGCTGAGATCACCAGTCAGGGAAGAGTTGTCAATTTAAAAGGCTTTCAATGGATGCTGAAAGGCCAGTACAGTTGGCGCCTGTCTAATTTGTACAGGGAGAGGACTCCATGAAAAAAGGGGATGCAATGCTAGGATGTCACAGGGCAGGGCTCAGGTATCTTCAGCAGCTATCACACCACCTGCCAATGAGTACACAACCTGAACAGGTATCTAGGGAACAAGAAGATCTTTCAAGTAACACAATCCCGGAGTTGTCTAGCACCTTGTATACAAGTACCAAAATTGTTGGGCCGCGGGCACACTGGCAGCCAAGGGAAGCCGTCTCAGCAGTCCACCCAGAACTCACGGTAATAATTCAGCCCTGAAGTTATAAACACCTGGACAGATGTATGTTTGCCTCCAGGAAATACCTGTAGCTCCCTTACTATCAAGGGATGTGGGTGGCGCTGTGGGTTAAACCACAGAGCCTAGGACTTGCTGATCAGAAGGTCGGCAGTTTGAATCCCCGCGACGGGGTGAGCTCCCATTGCTGGGTCCCTGCTCCTGCCAACCTAGCAATTCAAAAGCACGTCAAAGTGCAAGTAGATAAATAGGTACCACTCCGGCGGGAAGGTAAACGGCGTTTCCGTGTGCTGCTCTGGTTCGTCAGAAGCGGCTTAGTCATGCTGGCCACCTGACCCGGAAGCTGTACGCTGGCTCCCTCGGCCAATAAAGCGAGATGAGCGCCGTAACCCCAGAGTTGGTCATGACTGGACCTAATGGTCAGGGGTCCCGTTACCTTTTTACCTTACTATCAGGAAGCTGGCAAAAAGCCCTTCAAGCAGCAAAGGGCAGGGGGTCAGCTTGCAACTTAGGAATCGTGGAATTTAGTACAGATAACAAAAATGGATAATCGCAGCTCCACACAGCCCAGCCACTAGGATGCTTTTGGACAGGGAAAGCCTGGCTTCTATGCTCTGGTAACCTCTAGTTTAGATTACTGCAATGTACGTAGGGCTGCCTCTGAAGACGGTTCGGAAACTTGAGCTGGTGCAGGTTGCTCACGGGGGCAAGGCAGTTTGAGCATATTACACCGATCCTGGCCTGACTGCACCAGCTGCCAATTAGTTTCTGGGCCCAATTTAAAGTGTTGTTTTTGGCCTATAAAGCCTTAAACGACTTAGGAGCGCAATACCTCAAAGACCTCTTTCCATATGAACCTACCTGAGACCCTGAGATCATTATTGAAGGTCCTTACTCATGTCCCTCCCCCACGAGAGGTCCAGAGGGTAGCAACATGAAAACAGGGCCTTTTTGGTGGTGGCTCCCTATTTGTGGCATGCTCTCTTCAACCAAGCCTTTGGCTGATTAATATCCTAAACCTTTTAAATGTGTTTGAAGGAAGCGGGGGGGAGGTTATTGTTTCGTTTTGTCCTTGTTTTTATTATGTACTTTGTATTCTTTTATCTTGTATTTTAATTTTGCGAATCACCCTGAGATCTATGAATGAAGGGTGGTACACAAATTTTAATAATCATAATATTTTTGCACCCTGCCCATCTGACTAGGTTGCCCTCGCCACTCTGGGCAGCTTCCAACAGAATATACAAAAACACAACAGAACATCACACATTAATAGCTTCCTGATATAGGGTAGATGTCTACAGAAGGTCAAATAATTATTTATTTCCTTGACATCTGATGGGATGGCGCCACTACCAAGAAGGCCCTCAAGCCTGGTTCTCTGTAACATCGCTTCTTGCACTAAGGGGACCACCAGAAGGCCCTCGGAGCTGGACCTCATTGCTTTCAGACAGCCAGACCACTAGGCATCCTTGCCCCACTCCCCAATTTCAAAACCACCACCAGAGCTAGCCCAGGCTTCTGCCTCAGTGACACCCAAGTCCCGAGATCAGAACTGCCCGTCGCATTTCCAAGCTGCCACAAACAGGACTAGAAACTTGCTTTTTTTGAGCTTCAAAGGAAGGCAGGGAGTCTCGGGTTCAAGGCTGCTGCCGGTTTGGTCCAACAGCCGTCCTTTTGTCGGGCATCGGCGGGCAAGCGCTCCTCCCCATCGGACAATGCCTCTCAACTGAGCATCCCTCTGCGGCAGCCGCTACACGGGTCTACCAGTGGGAGCGGAAAGGAGGAGGAGATTCTAGAACTCGCTTAGCAACGGGGTCCATGGGGGGCGATAACATAAATGTGGAGGAGGCTCTAAGGGGCAGGTGGCAACGCTTTTGATCTCCCGCCTACCACTTTCCCCCACATGTTTGGGGTTCTAGCTAGCATTTGCTCGGCTGCGGCTCAGATGTCGAGTCCCAGCATTGAGGCGTCTGCCAGGCAGAACACAGCGCACTGAGATGGCACATAGCATGATCCAGAACCCCCTCAAGGAGCCGGGGGGCTCAGGACTGCCAGCAGAGCAGGATTGGGGCATTGGGGGGTGGTGCAAGGAAGAGGGGAACCCCGAGAGAACGTGGCAGCCCTCACCTGAATTCAGTAGCTTGTGCATCCGCAGGTAACTGATGGTCAGCCGCATGATGGAGGCCTTGTCCAAGTGGGCACTGACCCCCCGGGCGAAGGGCAGGGTGTGCGCCAGCTGGTAGAAAACCTCCGTCTCCTTGCTGCGGCGGCATCGCGCCGCGTCCCTCGATTTCTCCTTCCGGATTTCTGTGGTGGACCTGCAGGCAAAGGAAGGAAGGTCAGGGGTTTGGGTGTGCTTTTTTGAGCAAGAGAACTGAGCTCCCTTACCTTTTTTAAAATTAAAAAATTGCCTAATTTTTCTGTCTATAGGACGCCCCCTATTTTGGGGGACTCAGATTTAAGAAAATGGGTGGAGGCGTAGGCGTGTATAAGATGCTCCCTAATTTTTGACATTATTTTTTAAGGGGGAAAAACCTAGTCTTATACATGGAAAAATACAGTACTTTTTTTTTTTGTCAGGGTGAGCCAAAAATCCACCTCTATCTGTAACCCATAAAATCGTAGCTATTTCAAATCCAGATCTTTGTTCGCTTGAGTTTATTAATCACATCTTGCATCTAGCCGCTGCCCAGGGGCGGGGGGCCACTTCAACTGGGCCCACAACAAACAAACAAACAAACAAACAAACATGCACACACCTTTTTTTCCAGAAAAAGCACTGAAAGATCAGGGTAAAGCAGCACTTTTGAGGTAGGCCTCCAGGCAGGGCTATTATGGGATACCTGCTTGTGTCATGTTGTTCATGTTAGACAAGGAGGACTGAGGAGACACGAGTTCAAATCTTCGCTCGACCGCAATGGAGCTCCCTAGGTGACTTTAGGCCTGTCAGCCTAGCCTACCTCTCAAGGTTGTTGTAAGGATTGGGGAAAGGAACGACGCATGCTAAGCTGAGCTTCTTGGAGGAAAAGCAAGATATCAATGGAATATAGAAAACAAATAAGAAAATTGTCTCAGGACTCCCATTTACAGAAGCTGTTGTTCTGAGTTCTATCCCCAGGTCAAGGGATGAGGATGTGACCGGTCAAATAACATTTTTGTTATGGATTTATGTTATGAGAAGAGCAGAAGACAATAGTCAACAAGTCTGACAAGCCACGGACAAAACAAGGGGGGGGGGGACCAGAAGTCCTTGTTTCACAAGATAGCCATTAGCGTCTTTAAAAGCACACCTGATTTTATTTATTTGCACAGGGAGACCTATGTTGTCCTTTCCACCTTCACAACAACCCTGTGAGGTAGGCTAGGCTGAGATTTAGGGACCAGCCACTGTGAGAAGAGGATGCTATGCTATAAGGGTCTTCGATCTGAACTTGGAGGTGAGTTCACATATACCAGGGAAAGCTTTGCTGAGATTTGCTGCGGCTTTAGGGAGGAAGGCAGACCTCGCTCTTGCCCCTTGCTTACAAAATAACGCTCTAAGGAATTCTAAAAGAAAAATCAGGGAAGGGAAAAAAGCTGCCATCTACCAAGTGGACTTCTTGAAATATCTGTAAAAGGTAAAGGTAAAGGGGCCCCTGACCATTAGGTCCAGTCGTGGCCGACTCTGGGGTTGCGGCGCTCATCTCGCTTTATTGGCCGAGGGAGCCGGCGTACAGCTTCCGGGTCATGTGGCCAGCATGACTAAGCCGCTTCTGGCGAACCAGAGCAGCGCATGGAAACGCCGTTTACCTTCCCACTGGTACCTATTTATCTACTTGCACTTTGACGTGCTTTTGAACTGCTAGGTTGGCAGGAGCTGGGACCGAGCAACGGGAGCTCACCCCATCGCGGGGATTCAAACTGCCGACCTTCTGATCGGCAAGTCCTAGGCTCTGTGGTTTAACCCACAGCGCCACCCGCGTCCCCCACAGTCAAATAATGGGTGGCCAAGCTGGCAATATTTGGGGTGTGTGCCAACCCTACCCAGCCCCAATAAACAGAGATCAGCTCTGCAAACTGGGCTTTTATTCCCAGGATAACCTACCAAAGGAGGGGGCAACTCTCCCTCCAAAACACCTGACTCCTGCAACTTCCACTTACAGAATCATAGAATTGGAGAGTTGGAAGGGAACCCTGGGGGTCATCTAGTCCAACCCGCTCCAATGCAGGAACTCAAAGCAGAAGAAAAGAAGATAAAAGATTTGATGACCATTAAAGACGGATGCACTCATTTGGAAGAAACAAGAAGGGATAGTTCTCCTGGGAACATGGGTCAGAATATGGGTAGGGGGAGGCGGAGTCTGAAAAGTTAGAGCTCTCCCTGCTTGTGGATATCTAGCACCTCAAGGGTAAAGGTTCGACAACAGGCTCACGCGATCTTCAAACACAAGATAAAGCAATGCAACCCTGTGATTTGCCACCCACGTCAGGGTATGTTTATGGCACCAACCCACGCAGGCACACCATGTTCTACAACAGCAAAGCCACAGATTACATGGAACAACACACCCAACATTCACAATCCCATTTATCACCCATTCTTCTCTGAGGAGTTCACTAAGCCGATTTTTATCCTCCCGACAACCTTGCAAGGTAGGCTATGCCATGAGTGACGTTGCTCAAGGCAAGCTGAGATAGCCTGGATAGCGTGTGGTGCTGAGAACGCAAAGGTTGCAGGTTCGATTCCCAAATGGGATAGCTGCGAATCCCTACATTGCAGGGGGTTGGACTAGATGACTCTCAAGGGCCCCTCAACTCTACGATTCTATGATTTACCCATTAGACTTGAAGGCTTGCTTTGATCAAACTCTTACGATTTCTCATTATTAGCTGTGGCTTCGGAGGAGAGCCCCCAACAAATGCCCTGTCCTCTGGGTCCGAGCCTCCAAACCAAACAGACACATAACATACCCTCAGATCTTCTCAGTGCCCGCCAAAATTGCTGCTAATGGCACGTCTAAGGCAAGTTTCATTCTCCAAGCACAACTGTACACACAAAGGCGCAAGTCAAGCGCCATCCCCGAGCCTCCCTCAAACCCACAACCCCTACACAACCCATCCCACAACGGAAGCACCCTTAAAATGGGAAGTTTGTTGTTTTCGTGGGATTTCCTCACAAAGAAAGACGCATGCAGATTCTGGGGCGTGTGGCGGGCTGGCGAGTGGGACGGCAAGGCCGCTCTCTCAGAAGCTGAAAAACAGCGACACGCCTTCCTAGGATTCTGACCAACACCTCAAAAAAAGAAGCGTTCACCCCGATATTGAGACCTAGGGCCCACATGCACCTCCAAATTGCACAGTTTCTCATATGACCCAGAATTCCGCTTGTTTCGACGTTGCTCACCTGGAAACACACCAATCTAGGCCTCATTGCATTGCACCCCCCCAAAAAAAGAACCAATTCCCGTCCAGTTCCTATTGGTGTCTGGAATCCTATTCTCTTAACAAACCCCCACAAAGTGCCCCATTTTGTTCCAGCCAGTCATTTTGGTGGGTTTCATTGGACGTTTTTCCCCCGCCCAAAATACACCCTTGCATTGTAGCATCTACCCCAAAGTCTCACAGATCTAGAATGATCTCCAAGCGCCAAAGACATCCAGAACCACATTCTCTGAGCTTGCATGCAGATATCAGTGTCCGAAAGCCCAGGCACCCCAAGCTCTGGGCAATGGGAAGTATCCTGAGATCCACACCTCTCCCCAAATCCACAAACGCCCCCAAACAGGGAACCGCATAAAACTTATTTGTCCAGACTGGCTCCCACAAAAAAACCCTCACACCATCAAGAAGCTTACAGTTCCTCGGGATATCGAAGAAAGAAACGCCCTTGTAAGCTCCAGGGGGGAAAACCACGCCGTTCAGAGATTCCCGAGGCAAACATTTTTAATTTCGTTTGTTGTTACGATTATGTCCCCACCTTCCTCTTAAAAAACAAACATGCAAGCAGCAAAGGCAGGTGGGAGACTGTAGTCCCTGACCCAGAAAACCTCCACCGTGACCCTGTGGAAACCCACCAAAAGACCCTCCTTGGCCCACGAAGGAGACCCCACACAATACCTGGGAGCCCGGAGATCTTTGAAGAATCCTGCAGAACAAGCCCCAGGGATCTGTGGGAAGCCACAAAGCCACGCCGCTTTGGAGCATGAAAGAACCACACCAGCAGCAGACCACAAAACTCTTCCACCTCGAAAGCAGGATGGGGACCTCACCTGTACCAGCTCCTGCACCTCAGCCTCTTCCGGCGGCGCCGCATTGCCGGGTGACTGGCTCTCCGTTCAGCTCCCTGAGTCGAATAAAGCCGGGCTTTGATCTCCCCAGTCCTCCTCTTCTTGCCACCCGTCCCTCCCAGGTCCCATCCAGGGTACAGGCTGTTCCATTCCTGTCCCCTGGCACAGCGCCACTCACTCCCGGGTTGCGCAGAGCAAGCAGCATTTTGCCGCGAGGGATGAAGACGAGCGCCTTATCTGTGGCTGCTCTCGGCTTACTCTCCAGCAAGCAGGTTCACCCAGGGGGCCTGGCCAGTAGCCAGGTGGGCCAACGGGTCACCAGACAGGGCTGGCAGCAGGCAGGAGGGAAGCGGGGAATCCTCATGCGCGGCCACGTGCCTGAGACAAGCATGGGTGCGAATGGGCAAGGGGGGCGTGAACGCAGCGAAGGATCACAAGAACACACCGGCCGGGCGAATGGGAGGGACGAATGCAATACAACTCTTCCCCCCCCCAAAAAAACCCCAACAACCCAGAGAAATGCATTGTGGGGGCGATGTTGCGCCAGAATATGAAATCCCCGGCAGACTTCGCAAGGGAGAGTTCAGATCAGGCAGTGGTTGATTTTTAGAAAGAGGACGACGAGCCTCGTGCATTTTTGGAAATTATATGCTTTGCCTCGGAAGCGGTTCTCGCTATTGCTGGATATGTGCAACACATACTCCGGTTAGCAGCTGGCATCAGTATTGAAGCCTCATGCCACTTTTTTTAAAATTGTAAAACTTTTTAGGAACATCGGATGCTGCCATCCTATCGAGCTTAGAAATGCTATCTGGCAGCAGATCCCTTGGATCACAGGCCTTAACTCTTCGACTTGGGAGATGCCAAGAATTAAACTCAAGACCCTTTGCAGGGGGAGCATGTGCCACACCACTGAGCAATGGCATTTCGCCAAAGGATAGAAGCGACTCTTTGAAAAGGGCGATTGAGAGAGAAGGGGCCATTCTTAAAACTCTCCCCCTGCTCTAAATCCTTCCAAGTGACTCGCTCTCTTGCATGTGACCCAGAATGGAATGTCAGTGTGTTAAGGAAGTCTGCACATGAACAGAGGCACTCTTTGTCGGAGATTCCAAAGCTGGGCCACTCACTTTCCAAAACGTCTTAAAGGGCGGGATCCAGAAATATTAAAGAGACTTGGTTTCTGGCCCATTTTTGGCTCACCTAACTCTGCTGCCAATTTGACGTTCCCACCCACCCCAGGAAGGACTTTCCACTCCACTGATAAAATTGATCCGATTTAATCAGTCCTGCTGACTTGGACCAAAGGTCCAGTCCCCATTTCCCAGAATGCTCAGCGAGATGCTCCATCTGGGAAGCTGACAAGCAGACAGGATGAAGGCATTTGCCTCCAGCAGTTGTCACTCGGGGAGCTGCTGACATTCGCTAGCATGGCTAATGGTGATTTATTGGGCAAACTGGTTCTGTAGTCATAACATCAGGGCACCACAAAACTTGGGTTCAGGCACAGAACCTCTGCTTGCTTTGCTGCTTTTCTAAATCAGCAGTTTCTTCTAGACTTCCACGTTTCTCTTTGTCCCTTTCATCCAACAGACCCTCTCGTATTTCCCCCTTTCCATATCCGCTTCCTTCCCCACACCAAACGGTGTTTACCCTCCTTCAAACATAATCACCGAAATGAAAGGAATAGGGCAAAAACTAGGATCAAATAATCTTCATATAATAACGAGATAGAAAGAAGAAGGGGGGGGGGTCACATTCCACACCGTAATATGTGCCTTCCAAGTCTCCAGATGGGCACCCGATGTTGCTCAGCAAACAGTTACAAGAATCTAGTCCTCAAGGATGAAAAAGGCAGCCGTGGAAGCCCCCTAAATTACCATAGAGTTGTAAAGTTAGAAGGGTCATCTTGTCCAACCCTCCGCAATACAGGAATGCCTTATCCTTGGAAAATTGTTTGGGTATGCAGAGTCTCGCCACCCACCCCACTTTTAAATTTATTTGTGACTTAAGGGGGGGGGACCTATTAATGAAGAAAAGAGAGGTCTGCAAAACCACGGCAAGCAGGTTAGAAGTTGGTCAGAGGGAGAGGGCATCAATATACCCTATACAGCCATCTGCCATAGAAATGCTTTGCTGTGTGCAATGTGAAACAGAGCCCCTGTTTGTGAAGGCACCATCCTGGAGGGCGCCAGACCCAAGCGCCCTCCCTGCAGGAGCTCATCCTGCTGCACTACGGCACGGCTCGATAACAGCTGCCTACGCAAAGCTCGCATGCATCTCTGATGCCTTCTGCTCAGATCAAGCATCTCTGACGTCAAACTTCCTTCCTCCACTGAGAATATCTCAGCTCTGCACATGCAGAGAGCGTTGCCAGCCGGCTACTTTGCACAACAAACCGTTTTTTCCTTATTAGCGCAAAATTGGAAAAGTTGGGGGTGGGGTGGAGAGAGACAGAGGTGGGCGGGCAAAAACAACCCCCCCTGCACCCCCAACATCCAGCTCCACAGCACCATAAGCTTCCCCCAAGGCACTACTCAGCTGTGCTGAAGTGACCCCGTTCAATCAGGACAGCCAAATCGATTCTCATGAATTTCCAGCAGACCCGTCATTTGGTATTTCCATCGATCCGATCCATGCATATGGATGCCCGGAGACAAGCAAACCAAATGCCAGAGATACTGAACATCTGAAGAGGCTCGTACATTCAATAAGTTAGCTTCTCCCCACCCACAAACCTTTGTCTGAGGACAAATCCACAGAGGAGAGGGCTGTCGATGGCTACTAGCCATGGCAGTCAGAGGCAGAAATGTTTCTGAAGACTAGTTGCTGGAAAGCTCAAGAGGGGACAGGGATTTTGTGCTCAGATTCTGGTTTCCTCCAGGCATCTGTGGAGATGCTGGACAAGTCACCAGACTCACCCAGCAGACTCTTCTTCTGTTCTTAAGTGGAGACAGTATGGACCAGCACCAATGGATAACCCAGTGGTTTGACCAGACACGGCCTGACAGGGCATCACATCTGAACTCTGGATCGGAATTTACCCTCCCTTAAAGATCAGGTTGGCTTGCAGCCCTAATGGCTCACTTCCACCTTGCTTCTGCACCCTGCGACTGGCACAGCGTAGCAGCAGGCAGGTCAGACTCACTGACCTCTGGACCCCTTCCAAGGCTACGGCCAGCCCGTTTTACAGTACCCGGTTCTATTTATATTTGTGTGTGTGTGTGCCCCAGCCACGCTTGCAATTCTGCTTAATAAGCACGGCTCATGCAGTCTTTGGATTTCCAAGGTAAGAGGTTCAAGGGCTCAATTCTGTTCCGTTTCCTGCCCTATTATTATCCTCCACGACTTTCAGACCCTCCCCACATGTGCAAGAGAAAGGCACTACAAAACACTGTCCCCTCCAGGACTTCCTGCATTCCAGGGCTAAGTTATGGAACCGAGGAAACAACCCCCCCCCCCCACGAAACAACAGCTCAAATCAACCCCCACGACATGTCCCCACTTCTCAGCTGGCACACTTGCCTTGCTCCTAATCCCCTCCTTTTAAAACATCTCCCCAAATCCCAACTGCTGCAAAATTATCCGGTCAGACTCTGTAGGAAGCCGTCTTATACTCCCAGTCAGACCGCTGGCCCATCTAGATTGGTACTGCCAACACGGACCGGCAGCAGCTCCCCCCCCCCCCCCAGCAAGGCTCTCTCTGCTGGGGGAGTTCTGCGTGCCAAGTGGATGCCCTGCCAACACTGAGCAAAGGCCCTTCCCACTTAGCCTTGCATAGCCAGCTGCAGGCAGGCAGGCCCTCCCCTCTCCCCGCCCACCCCGGCACGGATCCAAGCCCCTTAATCACTGCACTCTCTTCAACAACCCGCCCCCTCCTCCTTCCACCAAGCAGGAATCCTGTTGCACGTGCTCTTGGCAGTGCCTTTAGCTGTTCTGTCCACGTCTGCCCGGGACTTTGTGTACTGTAGACAGGGACCAATGCCAAGTACTCATCATGGCTGCGGGGGGGGGGGGTGGAGAGGAGGGGGGAGGAGAGGAAAGGTTGTGGGTGGGAGGAAAGATGACGCTGCTGGAGGAAGAGGAAAAGATCTGCAAGCAGCGCAGCTAGCTTCCCGTAAATCGTCAGCGTCACTGCTAAAAACAGAGGACCTTTCACCCCTTAAATTAGGGGGTGCACAGCTGTGTATGTAAAATAGGGTGAATGGGGTGTTAGGGGGGAGGGTAGTACTTCTGGCGGGGGACACATCATGCTCCTTCTGGGATAATTTGTCCACCTTGGGTCCCTATCCTGCACTCAGCTCTCACCTGGGGCTCCTAGAAGCTGCCAGCAGGCGACAGCTGCCAAGAATGGCTTCGATTGGCCGGCTAAACCAGGTGAGGGTGGCTAAGGGGTCTCAAACCCTCGTTTGAGTTGGGGACTTTGCCTGCATGCAAAAGCAGGCTCTGGTGGGCTGAGCAGATGAGAACAAGAGAGGGTCCAATGGTCAAGAAGGTGGTTTCTGCACCTGCTGTACAGAGAAGGAAGGGGCAAGTGGGGTTCGTCCACCTGGGAAGGGAGCCCATCTAGAAGGAAAGCTCTACAGCAGGGGCCAGCAACCTTTTCCAGCAGTGGGTTGGTCCACCGTCCCTCAGACCATGTGGGGGGCCGGACTATATTTTTTTGGGAGGGGGGAGGAACGAATCCCTATGCCCCACAAATAACCCAGAGATGCTTTTTAAATACAGTGGTACCTCGGGATGCGAATGAGATCCATTCCGGAGCCCCGTTCGCATCCTGAATAGAACGTAAGACGTGTCTGCGGGTCGCGTTTTGCCGCTTCTGCGCATGACGTCACTTTGAGCGTCTGCGCATGCGCGAGCGGTGAAACCCGGAAGTAACACGCTCCTTTACTTCTGGGTTGCTGTGAAGCGCAACCCGAAAGCGCTCGATCTGAAGCACATTCGACCCGAGGTATGACTGTAAAAGCAGACATTCTACTCATGTAAAAACACCAGGCAGGCCTCACAACTGACCCAGAGATGCGTT